GTGAATTTTTCGCCTTGTATTTGAACGAACTCCTCCTAGGGAATTTATCGGATCTGCTTCAAAATTGGTCAGTACAGTCAAAAAATGAATGAATGCATTTTGCATGAAACAATGGCTATGGATTTTGTCCCATATCTTGTACATGTTAACTATGCATTCACATGTGCATGATGGCTGCCTTGGGTTCCCTATGTCCGATCGGACCGTTGGTTTTGTGTATTGTCAGAAATTAACGTGTCCACAAAGCAAACCTGTGGTTAAATAGCAAGTATATCTCCGACTTAATAATGACTAATACAGACAAACATTAACTATGAAATCCAAACATATCCTTACTAACAGAATTACCCCCAGTGGTAGTATCATACCTACATTGAGAAGAATGGGCTGAATGCATCACAGACTGTAGCCATTTTTGCGTTTATCCATCCACTCTCTTTACTTGACTTTTCCATTCTTTGGGCAAAAAGGAGCCTATCATACCTATGGGCAGTTGGTGGAAGTGGACGAAAACTACAGCACACGGAGGGAAAAATCCATGTGGAGTCTCCACACACGAAAGGCCCTGTGAGGATCTGAACCTGTGACCTTGCTATGAGGCAACCTTCCAACTGCCACCCCTGCTTGAAGTTTACTGATGTTAAATTGGATTGTAAGTGAATACATGATACTGGTACATCCCTAATGCTGTTCTCTGGGTGTCTCTAATGTTGACCCAGGTACCATGTCGGAGCTGGTTCAGCAACTCTTCCCACCTTCTCAGTTTAAAGGTACCACCATGTCTTCTTCTGTCCCCTTTATAACCTTTCACAGCAATCGTGTTGACTGAAGCCCATGCTGCTGCTGGCCCCGTGTGCTCTGCTCTTGGCCCTTTTTCTTCATGGCATTTCTTTGCAGTGCTGTAACTCCTTCAGTTAAGGCTTTCCACAGCATATACATTCTTTTTTTCTGTATTCATCTTTGGATTGCCTGTAGATTTGGCATGGACCTCCAAGGTGCATGAAGTATGGTGTTTGAGCCAGTGTTTCCCTGCTGTTACTGTAAATTTGTCCTGGACTGGCTTTTGTCACACTGACTGCTGTTTCGAAGAACCTAACACAGCCACAATAGGTATTTTAAATACACTGAAAATAGACTCTCCTACTAAATAAATATCAAAAATATTTTGAACAGACTTATTCTCTTTGGACATTTAGGGTCCTGTTTTTGTGGCTGCGTAACAACCAGAGCAAGCAGCGCTCCAACAATTTGGAATTTTCCTTTGGTGCCCAGCGTAGAGAGCATGGTGCGTAGGTGGTATGTCAACTCAAATAAGGCAGAGCATTTTTGGTGGAAATTGGGTTTAGACATTGAATAAACACGCCAGAAACACATCTAAAGAACCTAAATGATTGCCTCTACATTTAGATTATTTTATTTTGGGTAAGGCTAGTGGTTTATAATTTAAATGCATTCTGAAAATGTCACCCTGTGTTTATGTACTGTATAGGAATGGTGTGATAGAGTAACTGTGTTGTGGAAGATGCCAGCCTTGAGTTGACACGGTCAGCTATCATGAGCAACCAGTTACTAAGGCAGCATGGGATGGATAAAGCGTTCCATCATCAGCTAGAACTGCATTGTCCATTTTGAGATGCAGATTGTCTTTGATACTGCGTTGTTGCTTGAACTTGGCTTGAGCTGTTTATACAAGTAAAGTTGCAGCACCAACAGGTTCCTTAACATAGCACAGAGCATTTTGCGTCGTTCCTCATCACTCGTACAATAATGCAAGCTTGTTAATGCGATCAGTGGCTTTGCTTGTGAGGCCAGCTCAAACTTGTGTAGTTCTTCCATGCAGATCAAATTTTATGGATTTTATACATTCTAGTTGGGTGAGAAGTGTTATGGAAGCTCAGTATTCATGTTAAATTACCCATCATTAAGCCCTGCAATTGTTATCAGGCTGTGCCATCATTAATCTGCTGAGCTCTCTGACAGGAGACACCATTTTCTAACCCTTACCTAATGTACCTTTAAGTTGTCTTTCTTCTGCCACCTAAGCCAAAAGAAGATACTCGGCAGCTTCACCCAGCCTTGTATCTACATTTTATCTGCTGAGGCTACTGGCTTTTGAATTACCATCCCTGCTTATCTAGCTCCACTAGTTTTACAAACAGCCACTAATCAGCAACCCCAGCCAGGCCTTGGTTGTCCATCCCTTACCACTGTCTATCTAGATCCACCATTGTTATAAATAGCCATTAATTAACCCTGTCCTGCATAATTCGAGATGGCAATAGAGCTTTATGCTATATATTGATTTTGCAAACTAGCTCAAACCAACAATAGCCAATGAAAGATTCACCAGTCGTCAGTGCAAACAGTTCGCTGGTTAAGTCCATTTTATGTCATTTCAATAGTGCTCCTTTCAACACTTCAAATCTATAATCCGGATATAATGTTGCTTTTATTTGGAAGTCCATCAACCAAAACCTCTCCTATGTTGACGGAATCCTCATTTACGTATTTTCCATCTGTGAATGAGTTCCCACATTCAGCAATGCACTCCAAAATATTATAGCTGCCCTCTGTAGTCAGATTATTTTAGGTACACAGTGTTTTACTTTGCTTAGCATGTTTCAACACTGCCATCTTGATTGACGCAGCTTTATCTGACTCATCTTTTAAGTTTTTGTCAAGCGTAATTTTGAAGCTACACTCACACAACACTCAACGTCTGACACCACATTTTCTCAGCAAAGTACACAACTTTGCTGTGAAACATCCGTTGTCCAACTGGGCTGAAAATGCCTGCTAGATTTGCTCGCCATATTGCGTTCAGATTATGGCGGTTTGGTTTCCTCTTTGCCATGTGGTTACTGGTTACAGCAACATGAGGACCACTCAGCATGAATTGTGCACAGTTTTTTTTTGTAGATGGAGATTTGACATAACATCATGTCATTGCTAATATTACTGATATTATTGTTATTATTATTACTAGTATTATTACTACAGTTACTATTATTACTATAATCACTGCTCATTG